AAGGAAGGAAAGAGGAGAAAAAAACCACTCTAGATTTCTCTAATTTCTTGATAATTTGGAGGTGGGCAAGCTCAGTAATGTCAGTTTTTGCTCAAAGATTGGATTTTTAGCTGAAAATGGGCTGACCCATGTGAATTTTTTGGGTTTTGAAGGGTTCAAAATGGAGTCTGAAGATGGGGATTTGAAATCCAAGATGGACGGCTATGAAGTTATCGAGCAGATTGGGAGAGGTGCTTTTGGGGCTGCATTTTTTGTGCTCAACAAAACCGAGAATGAGAAGTAAGATTTTATTTTGTTTGTTGCTTAGCATTTTTGATAATTAATGGCTGCGCTTTGCATGCACTAAGGGCTATCATTTTCTTTTTTTTTTGACTTTCTGTTATGGTTGCTGACATGCTGTTTGTCTCTTTGTGTGTGTGTGTGTAAGTGAGTTAGAGAGAGGGTGATAGATTGCTTCATTTTGATTGAGCTCAAAAGGTTTTCAAACTTAAAGCCTGTGTGTGGGATTTTAGTTGGATTCTGTTGTTTTTGCTGTGTTAATGGGTGTAATGGGAAATCTGAGACTGCAGGCAATCAGAGTAGAAGTGAAGAGCTGTGAGAGAAAACCCAATCTTTATCCTTTAAAACTCTTTCAGAAGCTGATCTGGAGAAATCATTCTTTGTTACTACTGTTTGCAAAGACTAAATGACTAAACAGAAGTGATTTTTAGCTTTTAGGTGTAAAAGTTAACTTCAATTTTTCCACCTAGAAGAAGCCAAGAGTCAATTTTTTGACCAACACTCCCCAACTGTATGTTTGATGGTTTTGTTGCTTTCTAGTACCAGAAAGTGTTATAAGAAACTCATCCAAATGATTGAGTTCAACACCTTTTCTTTAGTCTCTCATTTTTGTTTCTTATTTATTTGGCAGGTATGTTCTCAAGAAAATTCGTCTCAACAAGCAAACAGAGAAGTTCAAGCGAACAGCGCACCAGGAGGTTCGTTTTAATGCTTGTTTCATTGGTTTTATCAGCTGAACGTGGAGTGATTGCCAAATTGTTTTAACTTACATAAATGGGCTGTCGATAATTTCATATTGTGGAGCATGAATATGTCATATGACATGCGTATAATCTTTTTTGCATCTATCTACTTCTTTCATTTCTATTTTGTTATTAAATTCTCATTCTTTTCCTTGATACATCTTACAAACTTGAGTTTGTCACTATTGTAGATGAACTTGATTGCAAAACTTCAACATCCTTATATTGTTGAGTATAAAGATGCTTGGGTGGATAAGGTATTGTGGAATATTTGTTTTGTCTTTTTATGTGTTGAAAGCTACCCTGAATATTTTTTATTATGCCTTGTTTGATCTGTTTGGCAGGGAAACTATATATGCATAGTAACCAACTATTGTGAAGGTGGTGACATGTAAGTATTATTACCAAACCCATAATCTGTTAACCTAAATCCATAATGAGTAAGTTCATTTTAGAAACTGCAAATTATGCCGTATCTGGAATTTTTTTCGCATGAGAAGCATCTTCATATGTATAACTACCCATGAGGCTCAGCCAAATTACCAGTTTGTAAAATATAAGCAAATATAAAGGGGGAATTTGTAGTGCGGCATATAACTGTTTTTCCTTGTATTTGGACTGATAATCCTAAAGCTATTTTTTGTGGTTAATCAAGTAATTTGTTTCAGTTATATTTCCACTTGTGTACTTGCATGTCGAATCATGGTGAAGTTTCTTATTCTTGCATTTATAACCTTTTTCTTTTACTTTTATTATGCAGGTCCGAGATAATCAGAAGGACAAGAGGGGCATATTTTCCGGAGGAGGTGATTTGGTTTAATATTCCTGTGAAAAAATAATGATTATATCACCATTACTCGCATTAAGCTAACACACACTGATTTTTATTTTTTAACATTTTTCATATTTGCTCCAGAAAATATGCAAGTGGCTAACTCAATTGTTGTTAGCAATCGACTATCTCCACTCTAATCGCGTCCTTCACAGGGATCTGAAGGTTTGATTCTGATTTCTAGTATCAAGATACCATTTACTGATTTCATTGTTTTCTTACATTAATAATCTTTTCGTTTCCTTTTTTTTTGTTTTGTTCTTTCCTTTTTTGGGCCACTCCAGTTATCCAACATATTTCTCACAAAGGAAAACGATATCCGTCTTGGTAAGAAGGCCAAAGCAAGTCCTTAGAACAATTCAGTTTTAATATAGAATTATTAATTCTTCAGCTTGTTCACTATATTCAATTTACAGGTGATTTTGGATTGGCAAAACTTCTCGATGAGGGCGGTCTTGCTTCCTCGGTATGAACTACACAATCACATTAATTTCACATTACTCGTACTAAAAAGCAATTGGGCAAGTGTAATTTTAAATGAGGACTACATGTGGCAATTTGAATCTTGAACTCGTAATTCTTTTTAACGGCTGTAACTTTATTTTGTGCAAATGTTGGCGAATGACCTCGTTTTCCTCAAACCAGGTTGTGGGAACACCTAACTATATGTGCCCGGAGCTTCTTGCTGATATCCCCTATGGCTATAAATCGGACATTTGGTCGTTAGGTACCAAACTAAATCTAGAAAACTTTACGTATTTTCACTTGTTCACGTCTTAATCACTAAAAAAGAGATATGGTTTTTGTTTTTTTATTTGTCTAGGATGCTGCATGTTTGAGATTGCTGCACATCATCAAGCGTTCAAAGCCACTGTAAGTTCACTTTTACTGTTCGTGTTCGCATTAACCATTTTGCAAAATCAAAATGTTTTTTTCTCCTTTTTATTTTTTTTACCTAATGTTGTTGCTAAAATTCAGAAAATGAATTGATATAGGATATGGCTGGACTCATCAACAAGATTAACCGATCTTTGATTTCTCCACTTCCTATTGTATACTCTTCAACTCTGTAAGTTCTGAAAACACTTATCAAATGCAGAATTTTTCAATTTACGTTGCTATATCATGACTCGCAAAATGACACAAAATAATTAATGATAATATCCCCAGAAAACAGATCATCAAGAGCATGCTTAGGAAGAGCCCGGAACACAGGCCAACCGTGAGTTTGTCGAACTCCTTTTTTTACTCCTTATCACTTCTTCTTACGTAGCAAAACTAGTAAGAGTAGAACAATAACCTCACTTGAGCTTCCAACTACAAAAAGGAACCTTAAACTCAACAAATTTGAATTTCTTTTATATTCTTCTATTTCTTAAGGCAAAGATGCATTTTTAGTTCTCTTGGTTTAATCTCATAGCAACTTTAGTCCTAAGATTCTAACTTTTCGTCTTTTGGTCCTGCGATTTAATATTTTTCTGCAATTTCAGAACTGAAATTGCAATAAAATTTTTAATTACAGGACTTAAATTGCTAATTGAAAATCTAGGATTTTGGGAATTCGTTGCAATTTCAATCCTCAAAGGACTGAAAAATGCATCAAAATATTAAATCACAGGACCAAAAAGCAAAATGTTGGAATCTTGGGATTAAAATTGCTATGGCGTTAAACCAGCTAAAAATGCAATTTTGCCATTTCTTAATCTCACCTTTTGCATAATTTTTTGCACTTCCTCAGGCTGCCGAGCTGCTGAGACACCCCCATTTGCAGCCGTTCCTCCTCCGCTGCCACAACCCGTCGGCTGTCTTCCTTCCTGTCAAATCACCATCCCCGAAAAAATCAAACGAAAAGACCAAAAAGCCCTCCCCAGCCGTCAGCACATCCAGCCCAAGGAAAGACCCCAAAGAAAAGAGAGAGATCATCAAGCTGAAGCACAAGGACTTGCTCCCACTATTCCAAGAAAACACGGACGTTCAATACCCGAACCTTCTGCTCGACACCGATTTTTTGGTCAACGATCGGCTCGAGACAAAGCGTGTGGACCCCACAAGCTACTCCGGGAAAATATCTCACGACAGCGAGGATTCGAAGAGCGGAGCCACTAGTTGTGAGAATTTGGATTTGATGGTGCCTCCTCCAAACGAGCCGCAACAAGAACACGATGAAAAAAAATCCGAGAATATTACTGTTGACCGTGAAAAGGGAGAAAAAAAGATGGATAAAAACGAAGAACCTCTAGTCGGGCCCCACTCGACTGAGGAGAAAGTGGAAGCAAAGGTGGAAAAAGCAGCTCCCGAGAATGCTGATGTCACCTTTGTCCAACAAAACGAGAGATCGACCGAAGAAGAAAATGGAGGTAAAAGTGAAACTGATGGTGGTGAGAAAAATTTACTGGATAATAATAATGAGGTTATTATTACAGCTGGGTTAAGTGAAAATGGGAAAGGAGGAGAAGAAAAGCAGCTCTTGAGCCGAGAGTCGATCGAGGACTCATTGTCTCATCTGCCGGGTCTACAGAGGGCGGATGCTTTGGAGTCTTTGCTCGAGTTATGCGCAAGGTTGCTTAAACAGGACAAATTTGACGAGCTGTCGGGCGTGCTGAAGCCGTTTGGGGAGGAAATTGTTTCCTCTAGAGAGACAGCAATTTGGCTGACAAAGAGCTTGATCAATGCACAGAAGTTGGACAGGGAGAAATCATAAATTTTTCATGTGTTTGGACATGATTTGGACCTTTGGGGTTCTGATTATTTATTTTTTAAGAGCTTGATCAGTGCACAAAAGTTGGTTGAGGAGAAATCAATTTTTTTTTTTTCATGTGTTTTGGACATGATTTGGACCTTTAGGGTTCTCATTATGTAGTTATATTAGGGATGTGT